AAGGTGGCCCACAAAAATATTGGACCGTTTTGCGTAAGCTGCTAGCCCAACATGTCAAAATAACGAGGTTATGTGTACCAAACGGACCAATATTTTTATAAGTCACCTTTTTCTCGATTTCGTTCTCAAATTGTCTTAGGATTGAAGAGGAAAGTAAATAGGTATTAATAAGATTTTAGTACCAAATTAAATAGACAAAGTTCGTCGATCTCCTGATTGAAAATTCCCCAATTCCAAGAATTTTCGTAAATATAATATTTGTAGGTTACGATGAGATGAAGCTATTAACGAAGTTTCAGGTGGATGTTAATAATTTGATAAAAAGGGGTCTGTACCACGGGCTATTAGTTTTATTAACCATCTGATCAATTAATCCTGTAAAAAATCATGAAGTACCAGATAGTGAAATATGAAATATGAAGCTCTCTTTTGTCAACTTCATATCATGTATCTGTTTTTCACTTTCTTCTCAGTGAAATGCATTTTTTGTTCTGTAAAGCCTGAACATTGAGCACTTAGTGAAACTATTTTTTACGTATAAAGAATTTGTTTGTACTTAATAAGTTATTGTACCGATGAATACGATCCAAATTAATAGCTACGTACCTTCAGATAAAAATAGAACAAAAGTGTACTTTGTGATTTTTTTAATAAACCGACGAAAACGTTCTGTCCTTTCTGGAATTAATTCATATAAATAGTTTGAGGGAATGTTAATTATTTTAATTAGAAGTCGAGTTATCCTATGTTGGAATTTTTATGAAATGTATGGGATAAAGTTAAGTATATGTATAAAATACTTTTATACTTCCATTTCTCAAGCTCCTAAGTCTAAGTTGAAATGAAATATGAAGCTCTCTTTTGTCAACTTCATATCATGTATCTATTGTTCACTTTCTTCTCAGTGAAATACACTGCAATATCCCTTATTCCATTTATCACGACTCTTTTTCTCATTTTTACCCCTTTTATATCATTTAAGGCTCATTCGATTCTGAATCTTTTTATTAATTTTTTTTAAACTTAATATGTCATTAATTAATTTTATCTAATGTGACTTTAAATAGATAATCGAATGGCAACTCGTCTTATACTATTGAGAGTTATTATAATATGCCTTTTTCTTCTTTCTAAAACCCTTGACTCTTATAAAAAGATTCTCTTTATAACTAGTGACTTAGTTGAAACAATATTATGACCCACAGATAAAAAACAGATTTATTAATGCAATGATGATTTTTTATAAAAGTTAAAATTAATCGTTAATTTACAACTCATGTTTGGTTAAAATACAAGACAAGCGACTTGACTGATTATTATTATTATTTTTTTTTAAATAGCTAAGTCAGAAATAACCAGGGATTGATGTATGGAACTTTTTTAATAATCTTCATTTTAGTTTCATACTAGTCATACTGAAACTAATAAAAAAAAATTAAAATTTCAATTCAATCCCTACAAATAAATCATTTTTAACTATATTTTCTCCCTTCAAGCCCAAAAGGTTCAAAATTTGCTACTACTGGTGATTTCACTTTATTAAATATAGAAATAAATCTATGTAAAAATATTACAAATTTATTTAACTTTATATACATATATGCATTTATTTTAAAACTTAGTAGGCAAAGGCAAAGTTTAAGAATGTTATAGTCAGGCAAAGTAATATTCGAATAATAAGTATTAAAGTAATAAAACATATTTTATTTATTATAAAAACTACGATTTTGTAAATTTGTTTCAGTTATTATATTTTAAACATTAAACTTTAACATTCAGTTAAATATTTTCTGAAACATAATCGAATACGCATCGAATAATGTTACCTTTGATCATTCACAAGCTCAACTGATATATTATAATAAAGGCACAAAATATCGAACTGATAAGATTAAGTAATGAAAAAAATAAAGAAAATTTTGCTTGAATGGAAGCGAACAACTTTTTTTTTAAATGTTGGAAACACTAACGAGGACACAATTTGAAACAATAATGATGGATGTTTATTTGTCAGAATAAAAAAAGTTGGAAAATGAAAATTTTTTAAATGTATTGATGTTTCACGCTAAATAAAATTAAATCCCACTTAACTCTCTTTTTAAAATACTAAGAAAATATAACATTTTCTAAGAAAATATAAAATTAATAATGAGAATTATGTTTTCTTCAAATTTTACCACTCCACAATAATTACTATAATTTTTTTTAATCCACTGTCAAATAAAGCCCATTTATTCTAGCAAATCAAAAAATATTAACAATTTTTTTTATTTATTTTAATTTTAATTATATTATTGTTTTATTTTATTGTTTATTTTTTTTAAACTTCTTAATGATATTTACAACTGTATAAAAGAAATACATTTAGTAAATTTGAACATATGGATATAATGACGTGAAAACACTTGTTGAGAAACTGCCTAATGGCTAAAGATATTTCTACATTAGGAGATCACGGAGCCATCTCCTTTAAGACGCCTCGGATGGTTAACAGGAATTGAAGAGGAAGCAAGGTTAGACACGAGAGGGCTGGGATGAATCTAAAGTTTATTATGGAAGAATAGGTATCTGGATTGGGCCATATCTGAAACATTAAGGCCATTATGGATGGTTTTATTTGTAACAACTTAGAGAGCATTAAGGATTTTACGAAGTATTATGGATTGTAAGGATTGGATACGAGACGAATTTGATGGTTTAGTATAACCCCACAGCTCAACTCCGTAAGTCTAAGTAGGCCTTATTATAGTATATTAGTCTTTTGTAATTAATTGGAAGTTTAGAGCGTTTGTCTAGTTAGTAAGTAATCGGAATTTGCTGAAGTAATCGGAAACGTCGAGCGTTTTCTTGTCGTTTCAGTCTGGTATGAGGATTTATTTAAATTAAGAAAACATATTAATTAGCATGAAATTTGCAATTTAACAAATATTGTTATTTACATTATGTAAAATGAAGTGTCTACAGCTTTCTTTTAATGTTTAACATGTTTTTATTTAATTTTGTATTTATTAAATTTAATATTTAATTTTATCGCGTATCGTACTTTCATACTGCGGAAACAGTTGAGAACGGGTTTATGACATCACAGTGTTGAATGATAGGACCGCAGTCCTAACAACATATGGCCCCTTGAATTCTCCAAAACAGTAGTTAACTGCCAGCAGTTACGGTTGACTATTCCAGCTAAAGTATACCATAATAGAGCACTCTATTTCCTTAGACTTCTTACGTTATGATCCTTCATACGCTTTTTATATGCCATGGCCCATCTTTCTGACCTTTTAACTCTCTGATATTGAACAACCTCCTTTGAATTATCCTATCTTGTTAGTAGCTGACCATTTAGGTCTTCCTGTTCCTTAAAGATTCTTTCCACTCTTCAATTATATTCCCACTCAAGCTTTTGCCAAAGACGTTGGGAAATTCAACCACTCCTATCAAAAAAACCTGTATCTCATCGACCTCGTTCCATCCGAATTTTCAAAATTAATCAGAACCTTACTCGTTTTCATTATTTTCTAGAAAAACATATTTTAAAGCGTTGGTATTATTATTATCTTTATTGTTCTCGCTTTTGCGGATTCAAAGCTGAAGGTGGGGGACAAGTTCAACCAACTGCAGTTATAATTTTTTTAGATATTTAAGAGCTTTCTCGTTATTCTGGCTGTATCCAAGAGAACCGCTTGCTGAGCCTCTCTTAACACATCAAGGGATAATTCCAAGCTGTCTGTACCTGCAACCTTTGACTTTGGGATTGACCATTTGTTGATATTATTATTGGTGTAACCAATACGCTTTCCAAATAGTACAACTCCTTTAATTCGATCACCAATTCTTGGTACTTACGGGGCTTCTCTCCCACGGTTGTGCTTATATTGTTATCATTTTGAATCGCGATATCTATTAGCTTTGCCTTCTTTGCTCCTAAATCTATAATAAGGATATCGGGTCTGTTGTGACCCACTGTGTGATCCGTTATTATAGATTCATTCCAATACATCTTGAGGGAGCCTTTTTGAAGTAGCCTTATCGGATTGTATTTATAATATGGCACCTTTTCATCCAACAGGTTATTATTGGTATTATTATATTTATGTATTGGCTCCGAGACCTTTCTGCAGTGCAGCCATCTAGTGCAGAGTGGGCAATGACTGGATTCTCTAATTAAATCCTATGCATCTACGGTTATAAACAACTCACTTTCTCTACAATTAGTAGAGAGATAAGTGTAATAAAAAAGCCTATATCGTATCGAAACAAAGGATGAGATACTATCGTTATATCGAAAGATGAAAGCTAATATTTAATTTCAATTTTTTTTTTCATTTGCATTATAACCATAAATCAATTTAATATTTAAAAAACATGAAATAAACGTATTAACACATACCAATATTTTTAAACCATTGAAATACTAACTCATAAATATCTCTACATATTACAAAATTAAGTTTCAATACTATTAAAAAAAAAAGAAGCTTATTGCAGAAAGTCACAAAGTACATTATTGATAGAGCTGAACTTTTAAGAACTTTTTTTTGTGAATTTCTATCTAATTTTTCGATGAAATACAACATAAGTGACACAAATATGTATATATAAATTATGCATGTATTTCAAATATAGTTAAAATTAGGGTACAATTTTCTTATTCCACAAAGAGAAAATCCATCAATGTTCTCAGCGATTCAAGTTCATCAAAAGTCACTTATAGACTTTTTTTATTTAAACGATGATATATTTTTTAAGTATCTCAACCATTTCATTTTGATATCGATGTCATTCGATATTGGCGATATTGATATTTTTAATTTAATATCATACTAATATCCGAACTTGTCCGATATCGCATAGACAAATGTGCGATCATGAACAAGTGACATTCTTACTATTATCTTATAGTGAATTTAACAACTATCTAACACTTCTAGAGATATAATGTTATTTTATTTTCTTTGATTTTTTTAACATTTTCTTATGAAAACTTAATTCTCAAACAGATGAAGACACCGTGCACCATAAGGAAATAGAAGAAATAGCTTTATTTGCTCCTTTTCAGTTCTGAAAGCGCCAAGTAATTTTGCAGCACACACCAGTACGTTACTTTAAAACAAAAATTAATATGTATGTTCATCATTATATAATTAAAAATCTATATTATGTTACAGAAAAGCTGGCACATTGGCAAGTTAAGAGATGACATATAGTAGAATGTTTGAAGTACTTTTAAGATTTGTTCAGTGTAATTATTAAAAATTGAGAGGTGGAGAGAAATATTAAATGTTTGAATAGTTTAATCTTTTTTATATTTTTAAGTCATCCTATTTTTTTATCCAACCAAAGGGAAGCCACATGGAACGTAACGAGTATTTGAGAGAAAAGCTGGATCAAATTATAAGTTCGATTATTCAAATTATTTAGAGAGATCCCGTGGAAATTTTTAAACAATTTGAGCTCAATACACTGACGATTTTTTTGAACGGACGACATGATCCATTTTTAAGTTCAAATTATATGTTAAGGAGATTTCGTGAATATTTTGAAAATATCTTGCTAGAAATGCTGAAAAATATTGTAAGTATTCTCTATTTGTTGTAAGTTCCATATCAGCCACCACACATACTATTTGCAAATTCGTTATGATGTGTGGTAAATATAAATTTTCAACCAAGTTGAAAGATGACATTATATTATAGTATATTTAGTGATATATAAAAATAGCTACAGTGAAATAAAAAAAAGTGATTGTTCCTCTAGTGATAAAGAGGGTTCCCACCTATGGCATGTTACAATTTTCATCACTAATTTATTTGTAAAAGTAATTTTTTTTTAAAATTTCAATATTAATAGATTTTAAAATATTGGTCAGCATGATATGGCAAAAATCATTATGAACATTTAAATAGATACATCTATAAAACATGTATGCCACGACTCATTATAATTCTTAATTGAAGTTAACTCTATGTGAGAGGTGTAAATGTTAACATTTTGAAAAGTTCACATCTTCCACGAATTCAGGATGAAATCATGTTTTAACTTGCGATAAGATCACGTTTTATATTAGATAAGTTCTATGTGATAGAAAAACGTGTCGGAAGATAGTTGAATTTATTTAAGGGAGCGGATTACAACTGGTGCTTGATTAACTATCCATAGTTGGTTTAGACAGAGGTATTTCGGTTATGTTATCAAGAATTGCTCACATTATTAAAATCATAAACCACTTAGTATTTCTACAAATACTACGTGTACGTAATACTTATATGAACTTGTGTATGTTTTTATGATTAAAGGCTTTAACGTAAGATGAGACCATTGATGCTCGGCTTATCTACTCATATAACAGGTGAAATCTCTGTGTGGTTAACATAATGAGTAACGTACAGTCAACAGATCGATTTCTCAATATCATTTATATATTTCATCAAGGCTTATGTTGTTGAAACGTATGTTATGTCATGCCTCACGAATGGAGTCCAAACGAGGAATCTAACAAAGAAGTAAATGAATGAAAGTTATTCAGAGGAGTATACTGATTAAAAAAAATTAAGTGATAGGATAGACAATGAAAAGATTAAGCACAGAACTGGAGTTAAAGACATCAAACAGGTGATGTTAAAACGAAAATGCCAATGGGCGAAGAACATCAAACAGATGATGAACGTTGGACAAAGCAAGTGACAGAATGGTGGCCACTGTATACAAAAAGAAGAGGAGGAAAGCAATGGATGAGATGTAGTGACAATATTACAAGAGCATCAGGCATAAGCTGTTACAAGACAATATTTACGAAAATTGGAGGAGTCTTTTAATTAATATTGGACTTAAGATTAGTTCAAAAATGAATTTATTTAGCTATTTAGTATTTAAATTGCAATATAATTAATTTGAAATCAAGAAAAGTATTATTTTGTATTATAATAAATAAATACTTTATATACAGCCACGTAAGTAGAAGAAACTTTTTATAGGGCTGATAACACACCTCAAGGGCTACAAAAACTTCATATAAACAATGAACCAATTTTCAGCAGAGAAATAAAAGATCCAAGTGTAGTGTTTTTTTTTAACTGAGCCATGTTTTTTATAGTATAGGAAACGATAACTAAAGAAACACTTAATTTAAATAATAAAAAATGGCTTCACTGTGACAAAATTTATTTCGAATGAAAATAGAATTCGTCAATGTCAAAATTAGTTATAAAGATCTTTTAGATGGATAAATTAAGGTATGTTCCGTTTTTTAAAAACATCATAAATCACAATTTTTTTTTACAATCATGCAACTATACTATCGCGACCCCACTTTAAAGAAAACTTCCTCACTTAATAGGCTTACTAATTACATACAAATGACTAAAATTAAGTGTTAAAAATCTTTTATGTCTCGCTTTCTCAATATCTGAGATGTATTATAATAAACTTAATTGCCTAAATAGAGTGTGAATGTCCTCTCATAACACTATTATAAATGACCTTGATGTGACAGATTGTAACAACTCTTAATAAACATGTTAATAAAAAAAATACCATAATATTTTTTTTTATTTAAAAAGAAATTTAAATTAATGATTTTTCAAGTAAAGTGGTTATGTAACTGTGATTTCCTCTCAAATCTCTGTCATAGAAATTTATCTGTATTTATAAGTGACATAGAAACGCTATTTTTCTAGTAATAAAATTTACGTTCTCAAACAAACCTAGCTGAATCCATCCCCCCCCCCCCTGCAACCAGAACGAAAATTCTGCGCCTATAAACGATTGTACGTGTTTGTGATTTTGTTTTTGTAAGACTTATTTTATTTTAACTGTAATCTATTATAGTTTTTTATAATATTTATTTATTGTCAATATTATTTATTTAAACTTTATTATTTATATTTATTTCACTATTTTACGTACATAGGCAGCGGTGTAGCTCTCTGACTTCCAGGGCTCAAGGCCCCAGATTAAAATCCAGGTGATGGATAAATTATTTATTATGTTTCACTGTTTGTGAATCGACCCTGGGGTCGGAAGAGACCCTACTGTACGGCAGACACACCAAGCCTAGATAAAGTGGGAACTCCTAATTAATTAAATAAATTAAGAAAAAACTTGGAGATTGAGCTTGATCTCGGTCATTTCACCTTCTTGTACAACTGTTGACCAAGAAACAATGCATTCCAAAATAGTACTCAACCGAAGATCCTTTTTTATTTTTATTGTATGTAAGTATTGTATGAATGAACACTTAAGCCCAAATATTTGTTGTCATTATTCAGATTGTATTATTATTCAACTTATTTGATTCTAAGGATCTGCAAAATTCAGTCTGTAAATAAATTTTCACGACGATAATAAATCAACGTGCTGATTTAGGAGAAACTAAAAAAGGTCTAGGAAAAACAAATAACTTCAACTTTATTGCTAATCCACCCTGCATTGTTAAAAAACTTGTTCAAACTTTTGTTAGCTGTCAGCTTCTTTAAATGAGTTGAAGAATTGAAAATTATTATGTAAATTAGTATGTTAGATTTTAATAAACTATATTAGAAAACAACTAATTAAATGTTTAAACACAAAACAGGAGATAGAATTTCGGTTATTTAATTTCCTTGGGTAACCATTCATGTAACATTTGAATTACGTTTCTTCTGTTTTTAAAACATAAAGACGCCATCAGTAGCTGAGTTCTGCAGTTGCTAAGTTTTTTATTTTGAAGGTAAGCAGTCTCTTGCAAAATAATCTTACACAACTTTTTAATGTTTATGCATATTATACAATGTAAAATATCCTAAATGTCAAGAAAATCATTAGATAAAGATTTCTCAGAGATTTTGAGATGCCAACAGATGTTTGAGATGCACACACTTAACTTTAAAATCAATTTATGCTGATCTCTGAGCGCTTATTTCTGAACAACGGTTTAATGGTAGTATATCATGGATAACAGCAACGAGCTATTAGCTAAGTTATGCGCTCTTAAAGGGATATTAAGACACGTATTAAGTTTTAAAATTTAATTACGAGATGGGAAACTACAAATATTATTAAGTATTCGTTTTTCCAGATCGCATAGTTGGCTCTCCGTGTTTACTAAGACCGGGACCTCAGTCAAACAGCTACACAGCGTTGTAGTCTATTTCAGTTTTATCTCCGTCCTATTTCACGACTATTGATAACTTCGTGTCCGTTTCTGGAAAAGGTGACGCATCCTAAAATAATATTATCTAGAATTTTTTTAGATCTGTACATAATTAATAAGACTGAAATATACATAACTCTTCAATAATTATAAAAAGTGAGAATAACATTATAGGTAATTAGGAAATTAGAAACTTTCACTTTTTTCCTCCTAAAAAAATCATTTTTTATAGGCCGAAAATTGATGGGGAATTTACCATTGCGGTGCATTTAATCCGGTAAATATTTGTTGAGATTATTTATATTTGTATATCACGGATAAATAGGTATAGAAGAAATTACTAAAAAGCTAATTAGTAAATAAACCAGGCAAGGAACAGAGGGATCAACCTAAATGTAGATGGGATTATTATCTTGTATCCGACCTTGAAAAAATGGGTTTTGTTGGAAAAGCGTGGAAGAAGGTATGTACCTAGGCTAGGACAACTAGTGTTAGAATATGAAAATTACAAATTAATTATGCTGTCATATAATGGAACAGGCAATTCAACATTAACATGTCTGAGAACTAAGTAATAAAAATCTAAATAACAATAGCTCCTAGAAAAGATATGAGAATGGCAGAAATTTGAATTGAAACAATTAATAGTATATGAGAAGTGGAGTCGCGCAGTGTAAAAGCGACCTAACACTGACTTCCGATGATCAAGGCCGTGAGTTTTGAGTCAGGCTGGGGAAGGTAATTAATTATTCCGTTATATCATCTATGGATCGACCCTGGGATCAGAGGACCCTCTGGGGCATACCACATCCTCCTTAAAGTGGATACTTTTGATTAAATAATTAATGAACGGGGAAAACCTCATGGTTGAGCGTGTTCTCCATCCAATTCCTGCACAACCGTTGGTTTTTAAACCGTATTTCCTTAAAAAGTACTGAACCCAAGAGACTTCATGGATTGTAGTGATAAGTTTTTTTTATACATGTTTACAATTTTACAAGTGTTTACTATAATATGGTTCATATGGGTAAGTGATGAAACAATCTGATGTTTTTGACACTTTATTCATATTTTTTTCAATGTTAGCAACTTTTTTTTACAGAAAACGTCAAGAGAAATAAATATTTCTG